TCTAGCCCTCGGACCACCGGCGCAACCAGGTCCTGACCAGATCGGAGCGAATGCCTAAAAGGCTCAGCCCTCGGCCCCTGGGGATGGGGCCCGCCAAGCCGGTTTATAAATGGAGCCTCCGTGGGTCCGCCTCCTCTAAGCGCCTCCGGCGTGATCTTGGCCGGCGCCTAGGTGCTGAAGTAGCTTCCCGTCCACTTCTCAAAGTTGAGGGTGCAACACCTGAAGGGCTTGTTAAAACAGAGCGCTGCGCCCCACCGCCAGAGTTTCTGCCTGAGTAGGTTTAGGGTGGGGTCCAAGAGCTTGCATTTCTAACAAGTGCCCAGGTGTCGGTGACGCTGCGCACCCGGGACCGCACTTAGCTTCTAGGCTGCCTGGCCACGGAGAGGCTCGCTGGCCACCTCCGCGCCGGTCCCGGCTGCTTACTGCCCTGAGCGCTGGTCTAGTAGGAGGAACCCGGCAGCACCGGAGGCTGCAGCCCTGGGAAGGCAGGGCCTGAGGAGTTTGGACGTTATCTTAGGGGCCCCTAAAGGGTTCCTGCAGGTAGGAAAGCAAGCAGGAGTAAACCTCGGAAGCCTGTGGCTGTTCGGTGTTACCAGGATATTTCATTCATCAGGTTCTCCTGACCTCCTTTCTGCATTGAACACATATTGATTGAGTATCTAGGTTTAGGGTTATAACGGCGAAAAGACAGGGTCCCAACCCTCCAAGGGCTCATAGTAACTAGGAGGGAAATGTGCAAACGATTACAATACAGGTAAGACAACTGTTTCTAGGGAGGCAGCGTCAAACTTCTGGGGAGGGAGAGTGGGTGGGACGCGGAGTCTGAGGAGCCGGAAGCCGTTTCCTGGAAGAACTGGCATTTATGCAGACACTTGCAGAATGAATGGGAATTTGGCAGGTAGAAGGAGAAACTGTTGAGGGGGTTAAAGTGGGAAGGGTTAGGCAGAAGGAATGAGCGACAAGACTGCTGAAATACAAGGTTCCAGAGGGAGACTGAGAGCTTGTCTGGTAGCGGCCGGCCTCCCTCCGACCTCTCTGGCTGCTCCTCTGTCTCCTTTCTTTGCTGGCCTCTTGTCAGCTGCTGTCCCTCACAAGCTGGTGTTTGCCAGGGCTCTGGCCCGGCTGCCTTTTCCTCTCACTCTCCATATCCGCTCCTCCAAACGTGAGGCCCCGAGCTGCTCCCTGTTGGGGCCCACATGTGTTTCCAGCTGAAGCCTAGCCTCCTCAGCTCCACGCAGATGGCCCCAGTGCCCCCTGCACTCTATCTTGGTGAACGGGGCCCTCATCCACCTCACCTAAGCCAGAGGATTTTGTGAAATGCCTCTTCCATATACAGCTGGTGAAGAGTGAAGTGGCACAGTAAATTGCTGGTGCCATTCACCAAGATAGAAAACAAGAGGAAAGATGCCGGGCTCAAATTCTGTATACAGTTCACTAGCTGAGCGACCTTGAGCAAGTTAATCTATTTTCTTACCTGTAAAGTGGGTTTCAAGATTGTTATACGGCTCACAAGGTTGTTATATGGATTAAACAATAATTGTTATTATTAAGCACTATGTTAAGTATTTTGTATGGGTTCCTTCAGAGTTGGTGAGTCAAAGGTCACTCTGCTGCTACGTGCCAGAGCCAGGTCTGGAACCCACAGTTCCCCACCTCCTAAGCCACCTTATTCATTGTCACACTATCTGGAGATTGTCTATCAAATAGGGAAATACTTACAATATAATGTTAAGTAAAAAGTGGACAACAAATTGCATAACGAGTGTGAGTGCAGCCATCTTTTAAAAAAAGGAAATACTCTAAACACAGAAAACGCTAGAAGGAAATATAGCAAACGGTTAAATGTTGTATTGAGGTTATTTTTGTCTTCTAGTTTTCCATTTCCTGTGTTTTCTTTAATATACATGTTTATTAAAAATAAAATATTTAAAACACTAAATATTCATTACATTAAAAACAATTTCAAGTCCACAAACTGTTCTCACGTTTGACTGAAAATTACACTCCATTGGTATCTCTTCTCAGTTCTAGTCCTAACTTCCCTGAACAGAAATTCTTTCCTACTCTCAAAGGCCAGAGTAGGAAGTAGGTATTGCAGCCATGTTCACCACCCTCCCCACAGCTGACAACCTGGCCGCTCGAGGAGGCTGTCAAAATCAGGTCTGTGGGGAGGGAAGTTCCAGACAGAACGCGGGCTTCTCCTACCGCCTAGGGCTTTCTGGACAGCGCTGCTTGAAATCAATTACTTTTTTCTTCTTCTAAATAAGCGGCCGAATGCTCTTTTTCCAGTTCTGGCTGAGTTGTTAGCTTCAGCCCAGTGGCGACGCCTGCCAGGTACCTGGCTCAGTGAACACCGCCCAAACTGGTCAGGCCAGTCCTCCCGTGGATGTTTCTGCCAGGACTTGCCTCTGTGTGTGTGTGTGTGTGTGTGTGTGTGTGTGTGTTGTTAGAGACCCACCCTTCTCCCCAGCAACCCAGGTAGGTGGAAGGTAGCTTCGGGGACCAGCCTGGCAGTGAAGCCAGATGGGTGGAGCTGAATTAATCTAACCTGGAATTTCAATTTGGCCTGCACAACAGGTGAGAGGAAAAAAGCAGCAGAGAGAACGGGCAGTTAGGCAACTTAGAAATATTCTTATGCCTTGCCCCTTGGAAAACAGCCCGGGGTGACTTTTCAAAGTCTTTGCGATGGGTTATAGGGCTCGACCCGTCGAAGGCTGTCCGAGCCCCTCCAGAACGCTGTCCTCCTCGGTTACCCTCCGCGACGCGCCCGTTCCCCTCCTCTGGGAGGCAGGGCGGGGGTATCGGATTAGTCTTTGTTTTCGACGCGAAAGAGCCGAGAGCGGCGCAGGGGAGGCTCGCGATGGCAGGGCCCCGGGGTCCGCCTGGGTAGGGCGCTGGGCTGTGATCCCGGCGAAGGTTCCTGTCGGCTGGCCCTTGGCCTCTGCTCGCGGGGTATCCCCTCCGTGCCCGCTAGGCTGACTCGGTACGCAAACGCGCGATGTCCCCCATTGTCCTGCCTCGGAATGAGGGAGCGGCGGCCAGGAGAGGGGGGTCAGTGGGGCCCGGAGCTCAGGACTCCCTGGGGCACGGGGGCCGTCCCAGGCCGCTCGGCCCGCAGGGAGTGGCAGGAAGTGGGGGCACCGAGGCCGGCTCGGCCGAGGGCCTAGGCTGGGAGGTCCGCGTGCCCCACCCCGCGCCGCCCGCCGCGCCCGCTCGGCTGCAGAAGCGCCGGAGGGCGGGGGCGGCCAACCCGAGGAGGGCGGCCGGGTCCCGGGAGGACCGACCGCGGGGGAGGGGAGGTACTGCAGGTGCAAAGGAGCGGCGTCCGGGCCGGGCCCTGCCCCCATCCGCTCCAGGACCGCCCGCGCCGTCCCCTCCCCCTCCACGGAACTCCCCCCATCGCGCAGCTCCGAGCCCAGCGGAGGGGGCGGCGGCGGGGCCGGCGGGGCTCGGAGGGGCCGCACGTGCGCGCCCTCCCGGGCGGGGGAGTCCCCGGGCGAGCACGTGCCGCGGCGCGCGGGGGGCGGGGAGTCCCGCGGACGCCTTCATTGCTGCTGCTGCTGCTGCCGCCGCGGCCGCCGCTGCCTCTTCCTTCCTCCTGCGCCGTCCCCTCATCGGCCCGGGCGGGGGGCTCCGTGCGCCGAGCTCGGTCGGGCCAGGCGCTCCAGGAGGCGGGCGCCCCAGGCGGCGGCGGCGGCGGCCGCGACGGTGGTGGCGGCGGCGCGGGCCGGGAAACTTTGCCCCTTTGTGCGCTCCGCCCCGGAGGCGGCGGGCAGGTCGGTGCAGTCGGTGCCTTTCCGGCTCCGGGGTGGGGGAGGGGAGGCCGGGGGGGGGGCCCGCAGGGGAGGGGACGGTCCGGGGCGGGGGGCCCGCTACTTTGTTGCGGGAGACGAGGCGGGGGTGCTGCGGGTCACAGTGTAGCGGAGCCGGGCGGGGGCGGCGGGGCGGGGCGGGGGCTGCGGAGCCGCCGAAGCCGAGCGGCCGAGGCCCCAGAACAAAGGAGCCCGAGCGGCTGCGCGCGCGCGGCCGGGCCTGAGCCGGAGCGCGCCCCCCTCCCCGCGCCCCCTCGTTGGAGCGGGCCGCCCTCCAGGGTCCGGCCCGCTGGCGGGGCGGCCGGCGCGGGCTACCCCGGGCGCGCCCCACTCCAGGCCGCCTCAGTGCCCGGGGCGCCCGGGCAGCCCCGCCGAGTGAAGCTCTCGGCAAACTTTATTTTGAAAGCTGTGCTCCCTTGGGGAAGGCCCAGCGACCTCCAGTGAGGGGCGTGTGGGAATTTTGGCAAAACTCTCCCAAGCCCGTGGGGCTGGGGAAAAGGACACCTTTCTTAGACATATCTCCTTGACCGCCCCATAGATTCGCCGTCCAGGGTTCCTTAACACCCCGTCAGGCCCTCGTCCCGCTCCATCAGGGAGCGGGTGCCAGTGTGCCCTGCCAGAGGTTCTGGACACAATTTCATGAGAGCAAGCCCGTTGTCTTCCCCCAGCTTCTCTTTTCCCAGAAGCAGGAAGAGGTAACAGGAAGAGTGAAAGTTGTCCCCCAGCCCCGAGTGATGCGCTTCCCCTTTCTGTCTCTTTTCCAGGCTGCGCGCTGCCTTCTCCATCATTCTGACCCGGGAGAGGAAAAGCCAGAGGAGAACCTCCTCACCCTCCCCTGCCCCCGCCACACACCCACCTGCTCACCTCATGCCTGGGTCCAGGGTGGGTGAGGGTGAAGAGCCCACCCAGCCAAGATGACCCCTTCTCTGGGGACGGCCGCTGATGTCCTCCCCCCGATCCCGGGCCCCGGCAGGTGGGAGAGTGGCCCCCAACTGAGTCCTGTCAGACTGCTGGAGAGGAGGTGAAGCGGGGTTGAGAAGAGGTGCCCGTCTCGCAGCCTGGAGTTACTTGCCTTCGCTCTGTAGATTTTGACTGCTTTAGGAAGAAGGACTTGGTGGTGGCCTTTGCAGGCAGGAAGCTGGACTGTGGCTCTGCCCCAGCACCTATGCCCCCACCTCTGGCAACGTCATGAGTCAGTTTCAGGTGCCCCTGGCAGTCCAGCCGGACCTGTCAGGCCTTTATGACTTCCCTCAGGGCCAGGTGATGGTAGCGGGCTACCAGGGGCCTGGGCTTCCAGTGGCCGGGAGTGAACCCCAACTCCGAGGGGGCGGAGATGGGCGGAAGAAGCGGAAACGGTGTGGTACTTGTGAGCCCTGCCGGCGGCTGGAAAACTGTGGGGCTTGCACCAGCTGTACCAACCGCCGCACACACCAAATCTGCAAACTGCGCAAGTGTGAGGTGCTGAAGAAAAAAGTGGGGCTTCTCAAGGAGGTAAGCTGGGTCTTGCTTGACAGCCCTGTTCTTCCTTGAGGGTGCTGCATTCACAAGAGTCTTGCTGAAGACCCTTAAGCCCATTCTCCTGTTTTGATCCTCCTGGTCCAACTTTGAGTTGGGCTGTGAATAGGAGAGTAGCTGTCTTTAGAAGATGGTTTGGGCTAGTTTGCCGCGCTTACAATTGGTGGGAGGGTAACCGGGTTGCACAGGGCTTTGATCTAGCACTCTCATCCCTGATGTTTGCATTTGACATGGGACAATGGTATCCAGCTTTATCTTTAGAAGTTTTTTGTCTGCTTGAAGCTTCAGATATATTTCAAGGTCATGCTAATGCTTGGGTGATCTGGGAGTGATGGTGTCAGGTAAGGGTTGGAGGCTGATGCTTTGGGAAGGAAAAATTTGGAGTGACAGGATGGTCTTATGCTGCCCTGATGGAGTGGGATGTTTCTCTCCCTAAATCTTTTTTTGGGTGCCATGCTTTTGGGGATGGTACCTAAAAATGTTTGGGAATTTAATGAGAACCCCATGGTTTGAGTTCCCCTGCTAGACAGTACTTCTTGAGGTCAAGGACTTTTTATGCCTTGTGTTCTTAGGACCTGGCTCAGTTCCTTGGTGTGTAGGAAGCCCTCAGATGCTAATTGAATGAATGAATGAATGATGTGCGTTTGAGACGCTGTCAACCCCAGGAAGGAGTACTCCCTTAATTGGGAGTTGGGAGGGCAAGGGAGGGGAGGAGGAGTTGGAATGAGAACAGAGAGGGGAGAGGGAGGCGGTGGCACCGCACTGGCCGCCTTGCCTTTACGTGCTGGTGGTGGGTTGCCGGCCGTGAGGCTGGTGGCAGCCGTAACGGCAGAGAGTTGGCAGAAGTAGGGACGAGCGAAGTGAAGCAGCTTGGGAGGAGCGGTGTAGCGGCCGAGGTCGCTCCAGGCAGCGGGACTCGCGCTGGACAGAGACCGGGGCCTGCGCTGTCTGTGGGGCTTCCCCGCTTTGCCACTGATTTGTCCAAGGGCTCGGACGGCTCAGGTCCTCTCTCTGAGTCTGTCTTCGCCCTGGGGACGTGGAGGGGCTGTGCTTCTTGGCCTTTGAAGCCCTTTCCAGCTGAGCTGGAAACCGCTGTGCTTCTGGGAGCCGGGGCACCTGTGGCTTCTGATGGGCTGGCGCCTCGCACTTGGGATTTCCCTGACCGCTGAGTTCAGAGCTGTGCCGCCAGTTTGGTGGGGCCATGGTCTTGTGGCTGGGAAGAAGGATCCAAGTGTTTTGGTCAGGAAAGTGGCCGTTGCTGGGATGTTTCTGCCGCTTCTTTCCTTCTCCTGTCTGCTCCCTGTGGAAGCTGCATATCACGGTCCAGGGACGGCGGATGGATGCCCTGTTTCCCCAGTCTAAGGTTAAAGCAGACATCTGGATCACATCTGTAGCTCCCCACCCCAGCCTGGGAGACTGTGTGCCGCCCCTTTATGTTGCTGCTGTTTACGGGGGAGTTGGTATCCTGCTGGCCCAGTGCCCTGTGGGTCATTTCTGAAAGCGGGGGTGGGACCAGGGGTAGGCTTCACTCCTGGGCACGAGAGCTCCTGTTTCGGTATAAGGAGGACATGCCCCATCTACTCTGTAAGGCTTGGTTCCTTTGCTTGCTTCCCTCTAGGGTTTATCTCCTCCTTTTCTGCCTTCCTCTCACTCCATTCCTCTCAAACCCTGGGGGATGAGCTTTCTGGGCTGGATGTTCCTCGAATGCGTGGCTCTTGTGAACCATGTTTAAGTTCTTCTTTTGGCAACAAATAGGTGCACCTGAGTGAAAGGGGCTGGGAGTGTAGCCAGGGGCCTGTCATCCTTGTGTGTAAGCTGCTGCCCTGGGTTACCAGTGGTCGCGCTTAAGAGAGGAGGAATCTGGCGTGGCTGAAGCTTAGAGTCAAGCCCCTGGATGTCTGCGTCCCTGTGGACCTTGCATAGCCGGCTGCCTCTCAAGGCCCCCAGGACTGGGGAGAAGGCAGCTGGTGCCCCATGGTCCCCCCAGACAGAGGGTCTGGACCAGTGCTGCCTCTGACAAGTTCTCTGGGTTTCTGCAGAAGCCATGAAAAGGGGACATTGGAGTGAGCTTTGTCTGAAAGCTAACTTTGTTTGACTGAAAGAGCAGAACTTTGTTTTAGGGATAGATACTTTCTACTTTTTGATGTTTGAAAATATACTTTCTTTTATGGAATGGAAGTGTTGATAGAAAATAGATCTATTTTTTTTCCCTAAAAAAGAGTCTTTACTTGGCAAAATACAGAATAGTAACTAGTGTCTCTCACCATAATTTTTTTTTAATTGGTCTGTGAAGGCTAAGAGCGTGGGAACCACTGTCCAGGCAACACTCTGTTTGACAAATGTATCGCTGGCAGAGCTGACAGGCCCTCTAGGCTGTTCCGAGTGAGAGCCCAGGGAACCAACCCGGCATTTATAGCCCCTAGGGGAATGCTGGGACCTTCACCACCAGGTCCGAGCAGCCTTGTAAAAGAGAGGACGTGTCCCAGGATCTGGGAGGTTGGGAAAGGAGGAAACCTATCCCTTGGAAATAGAACTTTAGATCTTAGCCCCTGCTCTTCAGGTGGGACAAGACAGAGCATCCCAGGAGCCTCCTGGGGGTCAGGTCCTCCCCTTGCATCCGTGCTTCTGTCTCCTCTTTGGGCATCCTTTCTTCACGTCCATCCTGTCCCCACCTCCTCCAGCTTCCTTTGGGACTTCCTCAGAGCTGTCTGCTGACAGCTGCTTTGTGTCATCCTGTAAGAGGGGGAACATTATCTTGATTTTCTTGTCTTCTTCCCTGCTCCTCACTGTTTTACCCAGTGTGGGTAGGTGGTGCTACAGAGCCCCTCTAGTCAGAGACATTCCACATTTTAATACTAGAGGCGACTCCCAGGCCTGTTCCTGTCCACCACAGAGGTAAGTGACCACACTCCTCTGGGCCCTAAGGAGAGGTAACACGCCTGAAGGAGTTCATTTCTGCAGCGGTGGTCTTCCTTCCTGGTTGCAGAAGGATTTAGATCCTAGGCTGATGTCGGAAGCTGTTTGACTTCCATATCCTCTTTACCTGAGTGGTGGCTTGTAGCACAGTGAAGATGGGTGATTAGAAAAGTAGGATTTGGTGAGTGTGGAGATGCAGAGCCCAAATTAAGTACTGTGCAGCTTATTCTCTTGAGCATTGCTTTTTTTTCCCTCACATGTCAGATGGGGTAACCCTTCTTTGTGAGGATTAATTGAGATAAAACATGCAGAATGTCTAGTACATGGTAGGTAATCAGTGCCTGGTGACAAAACATTCCTAGAACATCTAGAAGAGAATTAATTCTTATGCATAAAAATTGTGTATGTTAGTCTCTGAGCTGTAATTGTTAATTAAATGTTTATTTCAAGACATCCCAGCTTACTCACAGAACTGTGGGGCCAGGCAAGAGGAGGGAGGAGTTTGCCAACCTCTTTCCTGGGGGAGGGGGGCTGGACATCCAGGAGCAAGGAGCCGGTGTGGCCCTGGGCCTGACTGAAAAGTTACCCGTGGGTGAGGGAAGTGAGCGTTTGATAGAGAGGGTAGGAGAAAAACTCCTTGTGGAAAAAACCTTCCTGGAGGTATGTATACATAAGGTTGGAAGCATGATTGAGACTATTGTGGGTGAGAAATAGAAATATATATGGTGTGTCTAGCCCTCAGCCAAGTGGATTTCCTGGAGGAAACAAAGCTCCATGCCCGTGTTGAGAAAAGATACTTTGGAATTTGGGATCTCTCGACAACATCGGAACACCTGACCAATTCTTGCCTCACCTGCTAGTGGTGCTGTCTTCCTGAAGATGGAAGCTGTGGGTGGGTGGGGTAGGGGATGCTATCAGGAGGGTAGCAGTTCCCACCAGCAAAGGGAGAATTGATTGGTGAAGTAGAAGTGATGAGACTGGGAGCCCATCTCAGCATTTGTGAGTCCAGGGAGAAGCCTGGGCAAGGAGAGATGTTGACCATAGACTTCAGAAAGTTGTTTTTCAGATATAAACAGTTTTAAACCCCATGGCTACAGACTCTAAAAGGGAAGTTAGCTGGAGGGATAGGATTGCTTTTTAAAAAGAGAATGCTGACTCAGCAGTCCTAAATGGGGCCCTAAGGAGGAAGGTGGTGGAGGTTAAGAGCTGAACCATCTGTGTGGCTGCTTGGGCAGCTGTCTAGTGAGTGTAGATGGTGAAAGATCATGCTTTTTACATGGAAAGAGGGTGCGAGTCATTGGTAGTCTGACCCTTTAAGAAGAATATTAGAGAGTCCAGTGGCCAGAATGTGCTGAGGTGGTGGAAGATGCTCAAGACAGTAAACGTCTTTTATATGTTCCCAATAAGAACAGAGAAGGAAAGGGTGGTCTTACAGTTTTGGAGCAGAACTGGTGACAGAGAGAAGCCACTGGGTCCCTGTTGTGTCAGGGAGTATAAACTGGAGAAAGTATAAACCATGGCATGTGTGGTTATGGAGGGAGAGTCAGCTACCCTACCTGAATCTGAGTCATCAGCTTCCTACTACACACCTTCAGGTATGCCCATGGAGTGCCATCGTTGTGGAATTAGATGATGATTGGGAGAGAGCCAGAAGACCAGAGACAGGTAGAAAGTTCAATTTTTCAAAGATATGCTGGAAATTGTAAACCAGTGGCAGTTTTTGACCATCCTAGAGCAGATTTCTCAATCAGTTATTTATTATCTGTGGCTGTGCTGGGGCTTTGTTGCCGCCCGCGGGCCCCTCTAGTGGTGGGCGGGGGCTACTCTCCAGTCGCGATACTCAGGCTCCTGATTGCAGTGGCTTTTTCTGTTGTGCAGCGCGGGCTCTAGGGCACGTGGGCTCCAGGGCATGTGAGCTCAGTACTTGTGTCGCATGGGCTTAGTTCTTCTGTGGTGTATGGAATCTTCCCAGATCAGGGATCAAACCCCTGTCCCCTGCATTGGCAGGCAGACTGTTAACCACTGTACGACCAGGGAAGTCCTAGAGCAGATTTTTTAAA